GATGAGTGTATCCGATTTCCAATTATCACGGACCTAGGTACTGTTTATAATATATTATACTTGACTACTTGAGTATAAAAAAAGACATTCGATGAGTAATATATTATGATTTTGTTCGTATTAACTTTATTTTATAATACACATCTTCCACTACAAATATTACAACACATATAATTTATAGTATATATAGGTGTCTTATATGACATAACCGGAACGTAATTACGTATCCAATTGAACATTATATAATATAATTATTTTACAATAATTGAATAGGTACCTTGATGTTAAGAATGTACATAGTTTACATATTAAAAAAAAAAATTATATATTTATATCCGTACACAATTTTTAATTAACTAATATTTATCAATTTTAACCGCAGTAAATCGTCACCAAAGGAAGAAAAACGGTTATAGAACTTGTGCAGTATAGCAATACAYAATAYAATAAACGWATTTTTACCTTTAGGCYTTCTTCGTACTAAGGGGTTGAGTGGTTAGACGTATGTTAACGATAACACTGTGATATAATAATATATCATTTATATTAAATATTGTACCAGAGGATAGGATTACAATTTAAAATTGTTCAAATAGGTAGGTATATACGTGCAATGTCAATATGTAGAGAAATATGTATATATGTAATTAAGTAATTTTATATTGTACTGTACAGTCTTTACATAAGTATGTATACATAATTCAACACGTAATAAGTCATATATAATTATGAATTATAAATATAATAATAATAATATAAATATTAAATAGGAACTAAACGTCATATAATAACAGATTAATTGTTAAAAAGCGCGTTTTGATAGCCGATTGTGAATATTACAACATTTMATTTGTACATTTATTACTTTTACGATAATATTATACAGCCATAGTTATTAATAAAGTTACATTTTCATAATTTTTTTCAAGTTATACTTTTATGGGGTTTTTGAAAACTTACTTCTTTTATGTACTTATAAATAGTAATGTCACATAAATATATGTATTTATAAACGTAATTGATTCAATGTAATATAGGTACTATACGGCAAACGAATTTACTAGAACTTGCATATATTTTACTAAAATGCCATAAATTGTATTACAGTTAATATAACTAAACTTATTTTATATTCTAATACAATAAGAAATTAAATTTAAAATTTTGTTTTTAATATTTTATCTATATTTTCGGATTTTTTGTGATTGGCATATTAAAATAATTAGTTTTTAGTAACATAAATAATGTTGTTTTTTTTTTAAATTTAATTAGTTTTTACTCATTTAAAGTTATATAGTCAATTGTTTAATAATATAGTATACCATGTCGTATTTTTCAGTCTCCCACTTAGATCGTTTAATTTGTATTCGATAGTCACAAGTCAAAATACAAATATTTTATATTAACTACTCAAGAATAATATAATATATGCTCTAATTTTAATACATATTTTAAGGAATATATTATTATTAATGAATTACTAACTTATTATTATTTTCAGACAAAAGAACATAATAATATACTATATTATTATTAATGAATTTTAAACCAATTAATCATCCATGRTTATTTCATAACAATTATTTTTATATTAAAATCGATTCTAAAAGATCTATACGTGAAAGAACATTATTTAAAAAAATGCTTTTGGGAAAATTAATTTAAATACTTTACTCGGAATACTAGGTACTTCAGATTGCAGACTACAGTAGTACAGTGCCAGTACCGAATACACGACGTCTTGGGCAGGGGTGCGTGACCATGCAGTKGATGTCTACATGATAGATKTACAGACRTTTCACAATCGRATCACAACAGCACACTCGTGCACAATTTCATCTATCACGTACCTATAATCCTTTGAGAAGTAATAATCATAAGAATACACGTGGAGATTGGCAACATAACCTTAAAAAACGTGTTTATACGTCAAAGAGTCAACATAATAAATGTCGCGAGGCCACGCGTCATAATTCACAGCCTCTGGATCATCTGCGTCCGGACATTACACGTTGGAGGACGCGGTCGGTGAGTTGCTGGTGCTGCTCGTCCCACTCAGGTGCATGGTCTCCTGTTGTTGTTGTTGATGTAGGTGGTGCTGTTGCTGGGCCACCGGAAGTAGGCCTTCCCGCTGCCGTTTCTTCTGTTTCATTCGCCGGTTCTGGAACCATATCTTCACCTGGGTCTCGTTGAGCTGCAGCGCAGACGCGATCTCKATCCGCCGTGCCCGGGTGAGATACCGGTTGAAGTGAAACTCCTTCTCCAGCTCAGTTAGCTGCTTGTTGGTGAAGTTGGTGCGGCCGGTGTTGTTCATCAGCATCATCGCCGCGCTGTTGCCGCCGCCGCCGCCGCCGATTGCCTGCGAACGGGTGACGGAAACCGGCGACTGGTTCAACATGTTCTGCAGCAGCTGTTGTTGTTGCTGTTGCTGGCCACTAGCACCTCCGTGGGCCGCGTCCGCCGCCGACATCTGCAGGCCTTGGTGGTGGCCAGCCGCCGACATCATTGACGGTGTGCCGCCGAACGCCACCGACGCCGGGTTGGCCGCCTGCATTTGGTGTTGATGGTAWTCGGTTTTCATTACTGAAACAGTAGGTAACACGATAAGCAAATTCAGAATAATTGTAAAGATAGTAATTACTAATTTCTTTCATGAAAAACAGTTGTATTCTGTTGCAAACCGCATGTTTAATGTTGAATAAAAAATGGCATGTATAAGTTTAATCTAACTTTTGTTTACCTTCCTCTTCGAGTAGATTTCGGTACTTAACAATAATAATTAATAATAATGGTAATATATAGCGATAACGCCGATAGCACAAATATATTCTGACAGGGACGTAATTACGGGGAGGGGATAAGGGAGATAGATCCTCCTTATGAGCTGTATTCATATATTGTCTTATACCTACAAATAGTTCACATACAACCTTAAATATTATTATGAAACTAAAACAAAAAAATGTTTAGTTATGTATATATTACCAGGTTATAAATATTTACCCGTTAACGTCTTAACGATAAGCATGATTTGAAAATAAATGGTCTGATTCATTTTAATTCTTATTTATTTTTATAACATTGAGTGCTTTGCCACACGCTGTACTTAATTTAGAATAGATTATAGATAGTAAGTAATCTGATAATGGGAAAAATTACCATTCCATAAACATAATACCTTTAGTAATAAAAATATAACTYCAAGATTTACATTTCGTAAAACGAAAAGCCATATAGGTAGTAGGTACTAAAGGTACAATGAACGCGCGCTGACACAAAGTATCTAAATTAATAATTGCGATTACGTCTAAACACTGCACAGTAGGTACACTAGGTACACACCGTGACACCGTGCCATTCTCCCATAGTCACAGTGTCGGTTATATTCTTATAAGCTAAAACAAATATGGAGCAAAAAAAAAAAGAAAATTACCAACAACTCATATTACGTCATATATATTTAAATATTCTTATAAGCTAAAACAAATATGGAGCAAAAAAAAAAAGAAAATTACCAACAACTATTAGTATTTTATTTATTTTTTTTTTTTTTTAAGCCTGAACCTGACGTAAGCATTACAATTTTAAATTATTGAAAATACTAAACATCATTAGGCCCAGATTTAAATGTTTTAAAATCGTATACAAAATATTTAAATATATATGACGTAATATGTTGTACACTTATTATAATTAGCATTACAACTCGCGCTAAAATTATGAAAAATTAAGTTAACATCAGTAAAAAAATGTATTCAAAATTTAACTGGAGTCATTGAGTTAATTCAATAACTATTATGTCATATTTCTAATTAGAATGACACCACTGCAACGGAAGCTAATATACTATTAAAAKCTATTGGTTCAGAATTTCTTATATCCATACAAGTTAATAGTAATTAATAAATATAATTAATTTTATAATAAAATATTTTTCCAGTTGGTTTTTTCTTTTTGATTACTATTGTGTAAGTTGCTATAAAAAGAACAAATTGATTTGAGAAAAGCAGTAAGCCTTACTGAAGATATTATAAATGTATTAAAAATTATCAGTTTAAATTGTGATACTAAATTTCACAAATTGTTTTTGCTTGCAAAAGTAAGTATACTAAAGTAAAGTATATTATTATATGAATTTAATTATGTTTATATTTGACATTTGTAATAGGAGATGTCAGTTTAGTAATT